TTTGTTTTCATAAATCCTTCACAGTTCAGTGAAACTGTCCAGCTGCAGTAACGTCATGACGTTTGGTTTGAACGCAGAGAGGAACGACGTATCCCAAAGTTTCCAAAGAGTCTGCAGTCTGAAGGCTCATGTCGCATTTTACCCGGCTTTTACATCAACGTGAGACATGCGTCACAATTCAGCAGCAGAAGAAGCTGGGCGGCCATCTTTACTGCCGTAAACAGAGCGCCGAGCGGCCATCTTTACTGCCGTAAACGGAGCGCTGGGCGGCCATCTTTACTGCCGTAAACGGAGCGCTGGGCGGCCATCTTTACTGCCTTAAACGGAGTGCCGGGCGGCCATCTTTACTGCCGTAAACGGAGCGCCGGGCGGCCATCTTTACTGCCTTAAACGGAGCGCTGGGCGGCCATCTTTACTGCTGTAAACGGAGCGCCTCAGTTCAATGCAACACATATTATCATAACCTCACATAAACCATAGTTCTTACACAAAATGAATATTCTGGGGCCTGACTCTGACTCCTGACCGACACCACAAGGGTTTTTCAAACATGTTGAAGAGAAACTGCCCAACATGTCAGTCATCTCCTTTATCCTGAAACCATTGTGCTTCCTAACTGTACATTGTGATTAATGGTGTCAAAATCGATTGTAAAATCAATCTCACACCAATGTACCCATAACAACTGTAGCTTAAAACATAGAAAGGTCCAAGGGGTGTAAATACTTTTCCAATCCACTGTAGCACCCTGACCTTTGATTAGTCATTTCCCAGTTCTGTGGAAACATGAATAAAATCAGAGTATTTCTGAGCTCAAAGCGTCGCTCTAATACTATGAAGCATAATTGGAACAGAGCTGAGATCCTGAGAGTCAAGTGGTGAATTTTGATTCACCACCAGCTACGCTGAAATTCTGCTAAAGCAGCATGAAAACGTCTTTCCTTCCTGTCTCCTCTGGAGCTTTAATCCCATCTGAAGGAGACGCAGCGCTGGGGAGGCTGCAGAGCGCAAACAGATTTAAAACCTCCAGCAGCTGCAGGCGTCACAGGAGCGCCCAGCTACCAGCGCTCACACGGCTCACCTGGTCACAACAACCTCAGAAATGAGAAACAGTGAGTTTGTTTCTGTCTGAACGTCCTGGAACTATCAGAGAATATTTTCATGTTTCTGCACCATTTCAATGTCCGGTACGCTCCGGTACAGACTCTGATAGGTGAGCGTCAGCCCACCTGCTGTTTTCTCCCAATGGAATATTTCACATGAATGATAAAACCACAAACACCTGAGCAAAAAAACTGTTTTCATGACATTAATTTAATCTATGAAGAGAATAAATCCCAGAATTCATCAGTTCTGGGTGAAGCAGTAATCACACCCTAAACCTGCTGACCGATTTGTTGGACGATTCTCCAGCAAATCAATCACATTTAGGTCCAGACTTTGACTAGACCACAGCTAAATCTTTATTTTGCTCATTGGACGTAGATGAACTTTCTGTTGCCAGAGCAGAAAATCTTCCTCACTAAATGAATCCCTGACCATGATACTGCCACCACCATGTTTGACTTCAGGTTTTTTGGGAATCCTTCTGGATCGATCAGGTCGTGTTGCTTTCTAAGGTCTTTGAACGACTTCATGTTGAAATGACTTTTCATGCAGTGATTTAAATAAATGAAGTGAAACATGTTTTTATTTTAATTGATATTAAAGTTATTTTAATGATCTGAAACATTTCAGTTCAGGTTTTCTGCAGGTTGCACACATGATGACCAAACAGAGGAAATCTTTCAGTTTTTCAGTCAGTCCAGGCTGGATGTTGGCTGCAGCGTTCTGCAGATCCTGACCAGCGGGTCAGACGGGTCGTGTTCATGTCAGATGCATCTGACCTTTTGACCCCAGGGGCCAGACATTTGGTCGGACAGAAACCCAGAGACTGGCCCGGCAATGCAGAGACACGAAGAGGAGCAGAAACCCATCGGCATATTCAGACCCGGATTGTCTTCAGCCTGAACGTCGGCTCGCTTCAGCTCAGACACGAAGCCAAAACACCAGGATGAGGAACAACAAACAACAAATATATATTCATATATTCTGAAGAAAAGACAAGAACACCTGGAAGTTAGGAGACTTTTAACAGAAACAAAATGGTTTTTTTTACTTTTCAGATCTTTAAATTGTTTTTGTCTCTCGTGTTTGATGGAGAATCAGATGTTGGATCGCTACGGCGACGGGTGTCACATAAAGCCTGCAGAACCAGGCTGCTTCACATACTTTACATGATTCCTCTGTGCGTTCATAATTATGTCCAGATCATTGATCTTTAATGCTATTTATTTAAAGGGCCAGCCACATTAATTAGCATGAAGTCTTCAGCCTGGCAAGTAAACATTTAGCCACACAGGCTCATGTTATAAAACCCACATCATTAATAAAATAAGGCAAAAGAACATTGGAAATTAATCTCAAACCAGAGAGATAATCATTTATGTAAATGGAGAACATGAACTGATATCAAAACACAGAATTATTCATAAAGAGCTTTAAAAGAGGCTTTTAGGTTCTTATGATAATTCAGAAAACCAGGAAACATTAAAACAGTCCAAGGACCAGTGCAGCACTTAAATCCTTCTGACGTCCTTCATAATGTGTTGTTGTAATAAAAACAGCTTTAACAGTAAAAGTGTGAGAGGCTTGGAGAGCAGCAGGCTGTTAGCGGCTGGAGGCCGAGCCGATAACAAGCTGCGAACGGAAGCAAAACTAAAACTGGACAACTTTCCCCTAAAATCACTGCTGCTTCAAAGCTGCAGAAGGTCTCTCTATTTCTCCCCCGAGTCTCCCTAATAAACCCGTCAGACAGGGAAGTTTCACTCTTTGGTTTGAAACAAAGTGGCTCTTCAGCAAAACAACGAGGAGCCAAACTGCTGGTTTCTGATTGGCCGTGAAGCTTTCCGTCATCTAACGGCGCTTTTCTGCCCACATTTCGCTGCTTCTGCTTTTAATAGAAAAATTAAACGCAGCTCATCAGCAGTGTTGTCATGCCAACCATTATTTTTCCAAAATTAGAAAAATTATGAGGTTGAATCCAGCTCACATTTTTTATTCAAGGAATTTTCTATAAACACAATTTAAATAAGGCCTTGAGGCAAAGATTGCACCTGCAGTTATGGAAAATATTGTTTTAAATATATTTGTTTCTGTTCAGTCTGATCAGCAAACCTAAACCGTTCACTGTGGGAAGAGAGCAATGCATTCTGGGTACAGGATGAACATGACAGCATCACAGTGGAGTCCCCTAGGTGAGGAAACGGATCGGTCTTCACCACTTCAAAATAAGAGCATGCATATAAACGACAGATGTTGAACTTTATTTAACTGGAAGTTTACAAAAAACAGGAAGTAGATTAATTATAATTAATCAGGAAAAATTAATTTAGAGGAAGCTAAATATGTTAAATGTTTTCAAAGTTCGCAAAAACGCTAGCGTGCTAAACAGAGAATGAGCTAATCTGCTAATGTTAGCGCATTAGCAGCAGTGAGTTCACCACTAAGGAAGAGATAATTTGGTATTTAAATAATTATTCATTCTGCTGTTAGTTTTCACACGTCTACCTGACCTGGCACTGACAGCAGCTCTGGCCTAGTTAAAGTAACCAGCTGATCACACAGTTTAGAAACTATTTTTATCCATAGAACCTATTAATCATTTATAAATGTAGTGTTTGTTTAGCTTTCTTTGGGATGTTCAGGAAACATCAGGACTGCTGAAGACGTTGCTGTGAAATAGCAGCTTTTATTGGAGCGGAGAGATTTTATTTTATTAGCGTGTGAAGCAGTGGGAGCAAAAACAGCCTTTGATATGTTCTCCATGGTTTACATCGTCCCTGTTTGCTTTCTTGATGCTGCATTTTCAGGCCCAAGACTGAAACAGAGAAGAGCTTCACAAAGTGAACATAAAGTCGGCCTGAAAGCCAATGAATGCAGTCATTAGTTTCTGATCCTGTAGGGTGGAAGTGCGGTGTGTAAGTACACATGCTATGAGGCCGACCGGCAGAGAAACACAGAGATGTTATTGTTGCTCACAGAGCATCTAATGGCCTCCTGCTGTGATGAAGGTGACATCTGGAATGAGAGCTGCTTCTGTAACCCAGTTAAAGTTAATGAGCTGCGAAACTCGGAGACCTTTCTGTGAAGATCGGCCACACAAACGCGACGCAACAGCAAACAGGTGAATCACAGCAGCAGACAAATACATGAAAATATGAAACACTTTTGCTGAGACTCTAAAACCTGCGGCTCACTTTGTTTTACCTCCCAGTAAATAAAACGGGCAGCACAAGAGAACCGACTGCACTTAACATCTCTAGTGTTCCCAAACAGAGTAACAGGGAAACCCGTCCATCTGTCCCTCCGTCTGTCTGTCCATCTGTCTGTCCCTCCGTCTGTCTGTCCATCTGTCTGTCCCTCCATCCCTCCATCCATCCATCCCTCCCTCCGCCCGGCTGGAAGGGACAAACCACCTTCCTGAACTTCAGAACCGTTTCCTCGGACCAGCTGACTCTCATCCGTCCATCAGAACCGCAGCGACCTGCTTTGGGCTGTAGGTTCAGCCCAGCGGGTCGAGAGGCGGCCCGCTGGGAACGGGCTCCACTTTGTGCCAACAATGTGAACACAGCTCTTATTAAAATAATATTTAAAGCAAAATCAGATCCCTTCAACAAATCATGCAGATTCCATAAATCCAGCAGAAAATGAGGGGATTAGGAGATAATCCCCATTTAGGCACCAAACACATGTTGCGAATCTTTATCTGAAGTCAAAGTACAGGAACCATTCTGTCTGTTGCTGTGCTTGCAGAGTGAAACTGTGTTTCACTTTTAAAGCTGTGATGTAGCAGACCAGGCCAGGAGCCAGAGGCCAGTGAAACTGGTCCGTTTTGAGCTCCAGCTGGTCGCTTTCTGTTTGAAGTCGGCGCCTGGAAGGCGTGTCAGAGCGGATCTTACCTGATGCTCTGGATCTCCAGGACGTCTGGGTCTGAGGCGTTGAGTGACGCCACGAAGCTGCCCACTGGGACGTTCTCCATCCTGGTGACCAGCAGGGGGTCTGGGAAGAAGACGGGTCCCTCGTTGATGTCCTCCACTGTGACGTGGACGGTCGCCGTGGAGCTGGGACCGTAGCCAACGTCGGGAACCAAAGGATCCTCGTTCTCCACCCTGATGAGAAGCGTGTGGAACGCAGTGGTCTCGTAGTCCAGAGGCTGAAGAGAGGAGGAACGACGAAGAACGACGAGGTTTAAACGATGAGGTTTGGTTGTTATCCGTGAGTTCAGAGACGCTGGAGTCGTCTCACCTTGACCACTGACAGCATTCCTTCGTTGTTGTCTGGGTTGGTTTGGACCTCGAAGCTCTGTTTGGGGTCTCCGCTGATGATGGAGTACAAGGCTCGCCACGCGCCCGTGGCCGGGTCGTCCCGGTCGTCCACCGTCAGGTTGACCACGACGCCTCGGGAGCCCTCATGCACACGGGCCTCAAACTGACGAAAAAGAGACAAACATGAGGGAGAGGAAACCACGAACAAACTCCACTGGACCTGAAGGGCTGGTTCTGGTTCTGACGATGCTGGCTGGGACACGGATTTCAGAAGAAACAATATGAACACTGGCATTACAGAGAATATGACACAGTGTCTCTGAAGCAGAGAAATGCTGGAATCAATCAAACATGATTTTAAAAAAGTGAGAAACAAAATCTTCATTTCATCTGGATGAAAAAATGAACTTTTCCTGCCGTGTGGATGAGATGGGGGCCAGTGTTTATTTAATCCAACAGTTTATTTAATCCAACAGTGTTTATTTAATCCAACAGTGTTTATTTAATCCAACAGTTTATTTAATCCAACAGTTTATTTAATCCAACAGTTTATTTAATCCAACAGTTTATTTAATCCAACAGTTTATTTAATCCAACAGTGTTTATTGGGTGAAGTGTGTGGAAAGCTGATGACAAAGTAATTATTATTGTTTTACCATCTTAGTCTGAATGTGAAATGCTGTGTGTGAAGCTCGTGGTTCCCTGGCAGCAGAGTTGGACGTTCCAAGCATTTAGCATGCTGAGTTGAGCAAAACCAGATCAATGCAGACAGATTGTCTCCACAGCTTAACATTAATATCTGATGACATCATTAGATCATTGAGATGATTTTTGTAGTTCATAAATATATTTATGTAATCCAATCAGTGACGTACACTGGATGAGTTTCTATTAAGGTTTATAAAACCCAGCTTTTATTTTGATAGTCCACTTCTGGTTACCAGCAGGTGGATTTGAATATTAGCTGTGAGATTAATATTTAGTTTGTAAACTAAATATTTGGACTGAAACTGTGACATTTATAAATTAGTTATTAACAGTGATTTAGAAAAATTAACCCTATTTTTTTCCTATTATGACTAAATAATCATAATTATTGTGTTAATTTTTGACTGTAACCGTAGCGACCACAGAGAGCTGCTGTTTACATGCGTTAGCTTGATGAAAGCAGCTGCTAATCAGGAAACCTGGGATGATTTGGACATTAATAATCGTTAATATTTCACAGAGAGAAATAACCTCATTCAGAAACCTGACTGCTTGACAGGCATGTTTTGACTTTTTACATTACTTGTACATACTTAGCTTTTTTTGTGGGGGATGGGGAATTGTTCAGACTTTCTTCTTTAAGATACAGACTTGTCTGAATGTCAAACCTTAATAGACAGAGAGACAGACAGACAGAAAAATGGAATATATATGAGATTTTCTGGAGTCAAATCCAAGAAAAGCCTTCAGTGTAGCTTTAATTCCCTGGACAAAACACACATCAACCCACAGCTAAATAAACAACTATTCACACCAGAGTCCTTACAGTGCATCTCATTTATTCTTCAGTGTCAATCACTTCCCACCTCGCTGCTCATTGTTGGCGGCGCCTCAGTCAGATTCCTATCGATGCTCTGCCAGGCTCCCACTAAACACCACATTGTGATCAGGCACAAGCAATTCTGTCAGCATGTCTGCATGTGTGTGTGTGTGTGTGTCAGGGCCATTATTGTGTCAGAGCTTACAGCGTAATCTTTCAGACACAGAACAGTCTGTTTAAGGATCGCGTTGGTCCGGCCCAGATTACTGTCTCCTGTCAGCCACAGCATTGTTGTTCCACAGATTAGCCTCTTACTGCTTTACACTTCCTTGCTCTGTGCATTTATCTGAAGAGAGACAAACATTGATTTCTCCTCTTCTCTTTCTTTGCCACCTTCCCTATTCATCGAAAGCTTGTTAAAAAACACTCTGAGCCACTTCCAGTCATTTAGGCCAGAGGATGGGACGCGCCGTCCCTCAGCGGAGGAGCTGGCGCTCGTTCCAACGACTGGATGATCGCTGGGCCTTTTGTCCTGCAGGCCTGTGCAGAGCTGCTCTACAACATGATCTGTACAGTGGAAAATGTTAAGGCATCTAAAACTCACTGCTAACGCAGGAAACAGCAGGATGCAGAACAGACTGCAGGTAACTTGGTTATTTATCCTGAACAAAGTGGAGGTTCACTCTTCAAATTCATTTATTTATTCATTTCTGAATATTTAATTAGCAAGATAAATAATTAGCTAATTTTCAAATTCACGTCCCGATAAGCAGAACTGGACTACCAAAATAAAAGCCGAGTCTCCTGAACACGAACTCCTGCTTTCAAATTGCTTCATGTCACTTTTTCACCATCGATTCTTTTCCTCAACAAACGACGAGTCGCTTCATTCAGACGATCACCGATGGATCTACAGAAACAGGACGGATCAGCATCAAAGGATTCAATCTCAGCTTTTATTTTGGTAGTCCAATTCTGCTGATCAGGAAGTGAATTTGAATATTAGCTCAATATTCAGCTGAGAGCTAAACTGTAAATGTTTGCCTTTATAAACTCCTCCCATTATTTATGGGTTGGCAGTGAAAACATTGAGAGTTTTTCACAAAGGCAGCAAAATGCTTAACATGCCACAGCTAAACTCTGAGCCTGAGGACGTTCTGAGTCCAGTGTTCACACACACACACACACACACACACGCACGCGCGCACACACACACACACACACACACACACACACACACGCTCAAGCACACACAGACAAACACAATAACTCACTCACATGCTAACTAACTTACACAAATAATTACAT